CCAAACGAAAAAATATAAACAAGTCTAAATTGAAAACAACGTTCAAACCTATGATTGCGTTGGATAAAAACCGCAATTTTTATACGTGTGCATGCAAAAACAAATTTCTTGTTAGAGGGGTCTAAATACAGCACAAACAACATTTTCCAAAAGACCAAAAAAGTGAAAAAGTATATTTTAACAAAACGCATTTGACTTACAAGTCGAACAACAAATGTTCTTTAACCCCGCTGACTGCCATTGGCGATTGCCAAATAAACGGATCACAAGGTGTAATAAATGGATCTTAATTAAATTTTTTTTATACCAAACAGAAAACAATAAACTTGCGGCAAAGATGGTATACCGCAAACAAAGGTGCAAAGATATTTGTACACCATATCCGGATTTCGACAATTAATGTCTCTTCAGTGATGTTAGGAATCGAAACAGTATTTGGAAGGCCATGTAATTTACCTCAATTTAGGATAGACTCTCGAATTTTGAGGAGTCAAATTAGGATGAACGGATCATATAAACCCGAAGGCAAATATAATACAAGCCCAAACGAAAAAATATAAACAAGTCTAAATTGAAAACAACGTTCAAACCTATGATTGCGTTGGATAAAAACCGCAATTTTTATACGTGTGCATGCAAAAACAAATTTCTTGTTAGAGGGGTCTAAATACAGCACAAACAACATTTTCCAAAAGACCAAAAAAGTGAAAAAGTATATTTTAACAAAACGCATTTGACTAACAGGTCGAACAACAAATGTTCTTTAACCCCGCTGACTGCCATTGGCGATTGCCAAATAAACGGATCACAAGGTGTAATAAATGGATCTTAATTAAAAATTTAATACCAAACAGAAAACAATAAACTTGCGGCAAAGATGGTATACCGCAAACAAAGGTGCAAAGATTTTTGTACACCATATCCGGATTTCGACAATTAATGTCTCTTCAGTGATGTTATATATATATACATTGTGTATATCAAATAAGCTATTTTCCTTTTAACATTTGATTATTTTATTGTGATATCATTGATCTACATGCAAGATCATACCTTTTTATTCATATTATTACCCATCATGATTTGAAGGAATATCTGTGGCACAGATGTTTGCTGCATGTTATGTTCAACTTGTCGTACCTACAATCCTAGCATTTTTAATCATTTATGACACAGTCGAAAGTTGAAATAAGCAACACGGCGGATGTCGCCGGTGAGAACTTCTCTTACTCTTCCGGAGCACCGGTCTTCAGACCCATATTTTGTAGGATTCGAGTTTTCTGTTTACTTTTTGGTGCTTTGTTCTTGTTCGTCTTTTTTACATTTGAATAATGTCGTTGTCTGTTTGTCTATCTTCGACTTATTATTATTGATTGACTTTTTGGTATGCGTTACCATTTTTCCATTTTTTGTTGTATTTTCTATTTGTGATTTACACAGGTTAACTAGAATAAGTCGATTGAAAGGAATCTAAAAGTTTATCATGCTATCATTTTTATCAATGACTGGTATAGCGTAAATCATTTTTTTTTAAATTATACACAAATAAAATACTTATCCAATCTCTGTTGATATACACGATCATTTCTTATACGAATCATTATTAACCGTATCATCCAAATGGAAATCACATATAATACTAGTATATACATATCTATCCTTCGTTGACTGCAGATGGCAAGATGACAACAATAAACTTGATTAAAAGTATCACAGTTATTTATTAGGTAAGAATGTAAGACAGTACATATATACATGTATTATAAAAATAACAATCTATGATAAGAAATAATGATTTACAAAAATAATTACTTGTAACTACTAGTTATTCACACAAAAGAATTTGTCAGCCATTGCAAATTGAAAGGAGTATAAGACTATTTTATTTTGAATTAAAAGTTTACTGTTTTTGAAGCTTTTTTAATTGTCCATGTCATCTTTGAACGAAAAAAACAATTAATTGATGGACTTTAAATTATGGTTGTCGACTTTCATTTGTTTTTGTTTTTTGTTGTTGTTGATTACTTGTACACTCGATTTATACGGAATATACTTGTAACCGTACATTTTATATGCGAAACTATGTATGGCTATTTTCTTATTTCTACAACGCTCAACAGTAAATATTTTATGTAATTTTTTTTTTTACCTGAAGCGGACGATGTGAAATGCTGCGAATTATTGCTTCTTCACGTCCTAAAATAAAATTCTTCTGAAACATTGTTCACGTTACAAACAAGACATTATACCACCAGAAATGTATAAACGAGTCAATACAAATTTAATGCGCAAATAGCATGGTTGCAATATATTTGAAAAACGGCAATACATCGTCTCTGAATACATTGTATAACAATTATTTGTACGAAACAGGTAGAAATTACGAGGCTTACCGAGCATTTCTATCCTGTTTGGTGCCTCGTGTAGACTACATGATTGGCACACAAATTACAAAGGAACGTAAAGACAAATGTCTGTGAAATGACAATATGATAACAATGTAACAGGACGGAATTAATATTGAATACTAGCCTATTTATAACAATATACATTGAATAATATTAAAACAATACAATTAACTATAACACATATTATTTATAATTCTTTATATATTGAGCGAAAATCAGTGATTATGATAAGCATGCAGCAGTTTAAAAAGCTAACACAGAAATGCATGGAAAACATATTACGTGAATTTTACGTTTGTTCACAATTACAGGGGAATGTGTGTATGTTTTTTTTTTTATTTCCGTCACAATAGGAAATATTTGGTGTTACAAATAAAAAAAACCATACTGTTTATTTGGGAGAAATCCGTTTGCGCCAAAAATGCGTCCTTTTGCACCACAACTCATTTGCTCCAATGCTACGTTTGCGCCACTAGATTTCAAAATACCAAGCATCATTTGCGCCAAAAATAAAGTATACGAAAACGCTATTTTTATTAAAGTATGATAACAAAACATAAATCTAGTCAGACAACATAATCATATTAAAGCCACAAACATAACCTCTACAACTGACTTCTCCGCTGGTATAATTCTGGTATATATCAACGGCTAATGTTTCCTTTTCTGAGTTATGCTTTCATTTAACTACTGCTGCATTAGCATGTTGCAATTTAATGTAAGTAGAGGCTTGAAATTTTACGATGTCCGAAAAAGTAAACAAAGATGGATCCGATGAAAAAAAAAACCAGTTCATTGCGGTACTTATGAAATGCCACTGGTCCATTGTTAGTGTGTCTCGCGGTTGATGATGTTTCAGTCCATACGGATGATGGAAACAAATCATTGCCATCAACATATGTGGATAATAGATAATAAAAAAACAATTTCTTCTCACATTTTGTCACATCTTCCAACAAAAGTCCCTCATTCCATAAACTATTCTTTTAATGGTACCATAATCTATCAAGGAGTATCATGTAAGATGAATATTAGTACAGGTAACTTGGACGAAAATGAAATCCGTAAATTGGTACAATTTATACCTCCGAAAAATAATATATGGCGCAAATGATACATCTTGAAAATAGCAATTGTCGCAAAAGGACTGCTGCCTTTTATTCCAGAGTCATCAGGCAAAGATGCGTAAAACTAATGTCAGTAGTGGTAAAGTTGAAAATTAATCAGTTACATATTACAAATATATTTAAGGGATTATTACTTGAATGAAAATAAACACAGAAGTATTAAGCTGATATGATAGAGAAAAAAATAACCTTCATGTTTTATCATCATAGATATTGCTTTATGATGGAAAGAGGCAAAACCAAAAGTTCACATAAATAAGGGAGCTACCATTTGATTTTTACGGGGGGGGGGGGGGGGGGGGCCCTAGGATGAAATTTGAAAAAATAGGCAGGACAGGAGTTTTGAGTAAAAAAAAAGGCAGGATGAGATTATTTGCAAAAAAAAAGCAGGATGACAATTTAGTTAAATAAAAAAGTCAGGATAAACTAAAAAAAAAAAGGCAGGACCGAATAGAATGAAAAATAAAAAGGCAGGACCGAATAGAGGGAAAAATAAAAAGGCAGGACAGAATTTTTCATCCTAGCCCCCCCCCCCCCCCCCCCTCCCCCCCCCCCCCCCCATAAAAATCAAATGGTAGTTCCCTAACCTTCTGTCTATAATAATAAAATATTTCTATAGCAAAGTAACACTTTTGACCAAACAACATAACATTTACTGAATATTAAGCAGTCTCTATAACATTCACTTCAATTTATCTACATTTATGCAATGTTCACATTAAAATTATATAATCTGCCCCGCCTCATACCCGGGAGAGTTATCTTTTGTTAAAATTACCCCTTCTTTAGGTTTTCCCCATCAACAAAAAACCGACACATGTGTTGCGTTCCTCAAAATTCTGCAGGTTGTTCAATGGATTTGTTTGTATTCTTTGCATTATAATAGATTGTTTCAAAATCTTATTCTTTTTTTGTTGTTGCTTACTACACATTTTGGTGATTCGTCCATTATACAGATTTTCTGATTAAGATATGCTGCAGCAAACGTCACGTGTCACGATTTCAACATTAACTCCACTTTATCGTTACACAGAGAATGCGAAGCAATTAAACCGGGTTTGCCCCAAATTAACTTCACCTAAAATTAAGGGTCATTTAAATCCGAGCTCGCCCCTGGTTAAGACGTCCACACTACCCAAACTTAACTTGCATAAAATAATTATGCTCGAATAAAAACTATCAAAGATACCAGGCTTATAATTTGGTACGCAAGACGAACATTTCGTCTAAATTAGACTCGTCAGTGGAACTCGAATCAAATACGAAGTTTAAGAGAATTGAAAACAAAATATTCCAAAAATACGATTAAGGCATCTATGCCTGGGGTAGAAAAACTGTAACGTTTCAAATAATTCAACTTTTTTTTTACTACTGGTCTGGTGACATATCGAGGACAAACGTGAATCCAGATTAAAATGACATAAAGTGAACGGAGTATTAGATATATAAAAGAAAAAATCTAAAATGTACATGTAAGTTTATATAGGAGTGAACAGATCATAACAATTTTGTACTAAAAACCATTAACATAATTTATTTTTGACCATGTTGAAATACCTCTACGTACGAATGTCTATCTTTTTTATATATAAAATTGCATACCACAATATTGACGAATTAGATTATAATTTTCATCCATAACAAGGTAATTTACATTTACATTTATACAAAATCAATCTGTTAAATCTTAACTCGGTTTCATCTCTGTAAGAAGTTACGGATAAGTCTCGTAAGAAGTTACAGATAAGTCTCGTAATAATTTACGGATAAGTCTCGTAATAAGACATTGATAGGTCTAGTAAGAAGTTACGGATAAGTCTCGTAAGAAGTTACGGATAAGTCTCGTAAGAAGTTACGGATAAGTCTAGTAAGAAGTTACGGATTATTCTTGTAAGAAGATACGGATAAGTCTCGTAAGAAGTTACGGATAAGTCTCGTAAAAAGTTACGGATAAGTCTCGTAAGAAGTTACGGATTAGTCTCGTAAGAAGTTACGGATAAGTCTCGTAAGAAGTTACGGATAAGTCTCGTAAGAATTTACGGATAAGTCTCGTAATAAGTATTTGTTGACTTCTTTTTTTTTCATTGAAAAGACCATAACAGAGTTCGTTTGAATAAAATGTTTCAGCATTAAAGAACAAAGATGAGAAAAGTTATTCAGCAACAAAAACTAAACGTTTCGGTTTCTTGTAGCCTGGTTGGCCCGGCTGACCATTGTCAACACGTAACAATTGAGCGGCTTGCCTTGCCAAAGCATATTGCTCCATCGCATTCATTGCTTTTCTCGGGTCATTCGATCTGTTAGACACTGCGTGGATTTTTCGAGGATTCATAGAAATTTCTTCGACTGAGTCTCGGCGTCCAAAATCATACGGGGGTGGTGGACTTGGTGGCATATGCATGTCAGGATGTGGTTTCCGGTTTGGTGGTTTGTATGGCTGCTTGTCAGTCGGTTGTTTGATCGAGAGTGGCTTTATGTTCAATTTCTGTTCCTGAGCCGGAGCTGGTGGTGGAGGTGGATGTCCTTTGTCTTTTGTGGGATACAAGGAGTCCTCGTCAGGTATCGCCCATGGTAACGGAGTGCTATTTTCTCTTTCTACTGCAAGTTTGACATCCGAAGTAGATGTTGCTTGTTTTCTACCTTGAGCTTGGTTACTCTGGTTTTTAGCAGCAAAAGTAGCTGCCATTGCAGCACGTGTTGCACTTCTCCCATTTTCGTATTTCGTATCATTAAAGTTATTGTTATGTTCGCCACTGTTGTTTGCTGTAATAAGTTCATCGTCTTCATCATCAAGTAGTCTTTTCTTTTTAGCCTTCTTATTTTTCTTCTTCTTACAGTCATCATATCCCTTGCAGACGCAGTAAATTACACAAAATCCCCCATAAACAAGCACGATAAGGGGTAGTACACCCCACATAGCAAGATTGTTCGGGTCATCATAAAACTCTTTTATTTTGTCAAAAATTGACTTTTCTGGCTCTATAGTAGAATTTAGAAGTCGTCTTCCTGCCCATCCTAAATTTGATGCAATTGGCTCAGCTGCAACATATAAATTATATAGACATATAAATTTTTTTCTTCTAGTGAATTTAGATTATTTCCTGTGTTTGTTGTTTGCTTGCAGGTGGGTTTTGATGGTCTGTTGGTCTGAGATAAAAAAAAAAACAACAAAAAAACAACAAAAAAACAAACACAGAAAAGTTTAGGAAATCTTTGGAAAATAAAAAAAAAAAAAATTAAGGGTACATTCATGTTTGTCCCTAATCAATTTTTTTATCAAACATATTATATGCTAATGTGTAGTTTGCTAGGCTAAAGTTTTTGCACAATTATGATGTGGTGTTAAAAATTGGTGTATGCTTGTTTAGTTCATTATGGATGCATGTGCGGATCCAGGATTTTGAAAAAAGGGTGACTGCAGGCCAACGTTTGGAGTGATATTTGTAAAACGTCTATGCATTTATTATATTTGAAACTCCATTAGGGGGGGGGGGGGGGTCCAGGCTTTTTTTTTTTTTTTTTGTGTGTATTTTTCTTCTTGGCAGACTATTGGGTTTGAACTTTTAACTTTACGCAAAACAAATTAAAAAAACGCACACACTGCCTAATATAAATACATATGTCTAATTTCTATAAAATTTCGTCTTTAGCAAGCAGTTACCAATAATGAAAAAAAAAAAACGTACCAAAAACAAGTCGGGCTAAATCAAAATGTAATTGCCTTATAATTTAATCGTTCCTATCTGGTAAATGTTAGTTTACTACTTTATCGCATGCTGTTTTGTTTTGTAACCGCTAGTATTTTTTTATATGCTGACGTTAAAAAATGCCAAGTCAGATCTGAACAAAAATACATTTTAAAAATGTGAAAATATGTGGCCCTGTTTGTGTGTTTTTTCTTTACCGAAAATTAAAATGGTAATCCAACATTTTTACATTTCTTTCATCGAAAGTAAAACGTGTTTTTTTTTAAACTTGCGAATCGAAGGATTAATTTTTATGTTTTATGGGGCATGTTTTGTCGAAATTACTTGACAGAAATATAAATTATCGCCAACATGTCAAATATTGTTTTAGTCTTATAGTCTGCTCGTAGATCTATAAAGACATCATGCGTTATAAATATGTGATCTGCTATTCAGTAATGTAAAAAAAACTATGTTCCGCGGAAAGATCATCACATGTCAATATGGAGGTGCGCTAGACTAAAATCTGAATTGACTACGATTGACAGTTTTTCTACCGAAGGTCGGTGATTCTCTCCGGGCACTCAAGCTTCCTCCACCAAAAAACAGACCGCCACGAAATAGCACAATAGTGGTGATAGTGGCGTTTAAACACCAATCAATCAATCATGTTAACTTGAAAATCTGCAATCTAGGAAGCTTTCCTTCCAAAACAAGTCTAGACAAGCTTAAAAAATTATTTAATGAGAAGTTTTTTGTTTTCAGTTATTGTGTAGGTGATCATATTTAGGATATCAAATACAATAATGACAGGGATTAAGAGACTACCCTTATCATTTGGTTGTAATAGGAATATTAATGCTAAGACCTTATATGACAGTTCCTTTGAAAGAACCCTTTTATATATATGTGGTCGACTGACTCAAATCTCAAAATGGATTATGATATTCAACCTCTATTTTGTAAATAATATACATGATTACGTAATAAAAGACGTCATAGAAAGTACACCTCGATGTAGAGAAAACTTGCACTAATTCATAGCTAATCTTAAGAAATTGTAGTTTCTAAGTTCGGTGCATTATCGATAATATCTTTGTTAATTATTAATGTTCGCTTACTATATTGAAAGTTTTCGGTTTCTTTAACCCATATTCAACCAGACAGAATTCGTATTGTATTTACGCATCGGCAATTATTTGATTTGTGCTGTCTCAATCAAAACATCAATTTTTCACTGATTTTTTTCTCAAAACTATCATATTAAATTTTCAACGTGAATTTAGTATTTTCGTTAATATAAATTACTTATTATGAACAGTAGGAAGCTGCATTTATTGATCATAAGCTCTACTTGGATAACTTCACAGAATTGCATGCATAACTACTATAGCTCTAATTCAATATTTAGTTGGTAGTCCTGATACAGCAAGTTTAAAACATTAGTTTTTTAAACATAAAATTGGTGTTGTTGATAATACTTTAGATAAACATATCTGGGCTGGTTGTCGTTTGTTGCTGTTTATCATATTTGTTTTTTTGTCTATTGATTTGTTTTTGTTTATTGTTTAGTACGCAAATCAGGCCGTTAGTTTTCTCGTTTGAATTGTTTTACATTTGTCATTTCGGGGCCTTTTATAACTTGGTATGCGGTATGGGTTTTTCTCATTGTTGAATGCCGTACAGTGACCTATAGTTGCTTCTACTTCATTTGGTCTCTAGTGGCAATCATTCCACATATTCTAAGTTTTATAGAACTACTTTTATTTATGAAAAAAACATATCCATAAGGGTTTCAAACACTTTTACGAATAATAAATTGAGACGTTTAGTATATGTCTATGGACAATTAACAAACAACACAGAACATCCAGTGTCTTACGGTCTTCAATAATAAATCAGATAATGTGTCGCGCTCTAAATCGCCCTGAGATGGGACATTTTGTTCCCACCAAGGCCATTTTTAACAAGTATGTATTTTTTTTTTAAATTCTCAGTATCGCAGCTTCATATGCGTACTTTAAGGTTCTAACAATAGTATAGCCTATTTCTTAACACATGACCAAATAAATAATGCGTATAACCATAGTAAAAAAAATGATGCACTTTGTCTGGATTATTTATCTAACAAATGGATATATATATATACAAGTCTAAATTGAAAACAACGTTCAAATCTATGATTGCGTTGGATAAAAACAGCAATTTGTACTGTGCATGCAAAACAAATATCTTGGTAGAGGGGTCTAAATACAGCAATATTTATTACTTTTCCGCAAGTTTGTTGTTTTCTGTTTGGTATTAGATCCATTTTGTTACATCTGGTGATCCGTTTATTTGGCAATCACCATGGCAGTCAGCAGGGTTTAAGAACATCCGTTGTTCGACCTGCTAGTCAAATACGTTTTGTTAAAATATGCTTTTCACTTTTTTGGTCTTTTGGAAAATGTTGTTTGTGCTGTATTTAGAACCCTCTACCAAGAAATTTGTTTTGCATGCACACGTATAAAAATTGCGGTTTTTATCCAACACTATCATAGGTTTGAACGTTGTTATCAATTTAGACTTGTATATATATATAGTATATATTGCCAGTAGGAAGACAGTCCTCCCAAAATAATCAATAATCTGTAGATATGGCAAGGTCCGTATTTGACTGGGGGAATACTGAAAATCATTCGAACCAGGACGTAAAATAGGAGGTCATGTCCTGCAAGAAACATTCTGTGAAAGTATTTGAAAAGGAACTAGAAGCTTTGTAGGAGTTGAAGAAACTTAATGTCCAACACTTTATTATTTTGATATAGAGGTGTACAATGCTACATATTTCGAAGATTCACTGAACGTTTCCCTGAAATCCAGTCATTCCTTATTGAGACTGTGTACACAAGAAACGCTGACCGAACTCAAGACAGACGAAGAGAAATTTATAACGACCACTATGTAGCCCCGGTCGTTTCACTTAGATTGGTATAAGTCAATGATCGGTTCATTTTTACGAAAGAATTTAAGGAATAATGATTACTTACCAAGTATAAAAGAAATGCTTTGGTGAACAAATACCGACCAAAGCACAGCAGATAATGGATTCATTTTCACTGAAAATAATAAAAAAAAAAAACCATACACATTTGATAAAACTTTAAATTTAAAATTCACCTCTTCAGTCAAAATGAAAGAAAAATCCTTTTCCTTTTTCTTTTTATGTTTGTCTTGAATAAACTTATAAATGATTTTGAAGATAAATGATAGTTTTGGTTTGTGTTTGTCGTTGGTGACAATTTTGACCGTGACTTGAATTAAAATGGTAAAGTTGTCCCATATGTAGACAAAGTTACAGTTTTTAAATAGAATTCTTTGACTGCAATATCTTTTGTCTACTCATTCCCTTATTGTGATCCTCATTCAAAGCTTTGACTTTCGGCCTCTTTCACTTATCTATAGTTATACAATTTACTGTTAATGCGGTCTTTACGCTAAATCCATTCAATATTGGTGGTGTACTGATTGAAATTGTAGCCCTAGATGCATGATTTATTTATTAGTTGTTTTTGGCTTTGAACTAGCTGTCAGAAACTGCGAGTACTCTCAGATCTGTACTTTGTGTCATTTATGTAGTGAGGGATTTATAAATTCCCTGCCACGTCCGGTTTTTTTTGTATCGATCTGATGAGTTAAGCCCTTTTCAACTGATTTTTATAGGTTTTTCTTTATTGTACTGTTACACCACTGTCTTAGGTTAGGGGAGGGTTTGGTGACAGCATACATGTTTAACCCTGCCACATTCTTTATGTACCTGTCCCAAGTCAGGAGCCTGTAATTCAGTGGTTGTCGTTTGTTGCTGTATATCATATTTGTTTTACCTGAATTGTTTTGTTACAAATTAGACCGTTAGTTTTCTCAATTGAATTATTTCACTTTTATATATCGGTGCCTTTTATAGCCGACCATACGGTACGAGTTTTCTCAATTATTGAAGGCCGCACGGTTGCCTGTCAATGCTTGCATCCACTTCATTTGAACTTTGGTGGATAGTTGTCTCATTGGCAATCATACCACATCTCCTTATTTATATATATATATTTAATGGATCTTTTATGACATTTCCAATTGTCTATATATCTATAGAATATCTGACGTGTTATCAAAAGAAAAGCATGATGTTTGAATCGATCTAAATTTACATCAATTATTGATGACTTTTGAAAAATCTAACGAACTGTGAAATCCTAATGCTACAGCAGAGATATCAATGAGCCTGCATTAACGCAATTAAAGTAAATGTTTCTATTTGACGCTTTTTATGTTTCTATTTTTTATTCCCAGACGTTGTCTTTAACTTTATAGAAATCGACATCCAAAAAATAGACTGCTGCGTAACAGTTATTTTCACACGACCGTTCGCTCAACACTGAAGCGGGATAGAAGTATACTTTATTTGTACAAGTACATATAAAGCAAACAGATATTTGTTTACCTTGTTATTAGTTGGTTGATTGCAGATTAAAGATTAAAAACGAAAGAATTTTTCCTTGTTTTCTTCAATGATTGATTGCTGGTTGCTTAACGTCCAGTGGCAATTATTTCATGCATATTTGGGACAAGAAGTTTACTTACTAAAAATTTATATCCTTTTTAAATATAAAAAAAAGTATGGGTCACGGAGCCTTTTTTCAAAACTGTGGATTGTGCAAAATTGTCAATGTTATTTTTTGCGGTTTTATTTTTAAAACATAACAATTAAGGTATTATATTTCTGTTAATTAATCCCGTCAGTCCAAACTAGATATGGTGTGTGGTCATATGGTGAAAATAAGGAAATAAAATATATGGTAATTCTCTTGGTTAGAGGAATGAAATGATTTGGTCTGGTCATTTGAGTTGCTAAATGCCATTTGGGATGTTACTGCAACGTTAAAAATATTGACATATTTGACACAAAATTTTACACTTCGGTTTTGGTTAAATTAAATGTTAGCAACATCCTTACCACATAAAAGATATTTTAATCACATCAAAATTCCTTGTATAAGACATCATGTAGCAACATATCTTTTTACGTAAATGAGTTGCTCATATTCAAATATCAATTACAAGGTCTCAATTTTTTATTGTTCGATGGATAAGTATACTTTTCGATTTCGAATTGAAAGGGCCCCAAAATGTACCCTTATCTTGTGTACCTCACACTTATTTTCTATTTTAAGTAAAGACAATAATGCTGCTTCTTTCAAATATTAGCTATTCTTAGGATAAGTGTGGTCAAGAGGTTTCAGAGGAAAATACATTTGATTAAAGTAGAACGCCAATACGACTGTGGATCAAGTCCTGCAAGATCTATAGACATCAGTGGTTTTATTTTTTTCTGGTGCTAGTTTATATTGTGAAAAAAGCTAGTACCTAGTCACAAGAGAGAGAAAAAAAACAATCTAAACAATACACAGTAGATTTCTACAATGATGACGTTAATATATTAAATTCTAATTTCCATCGATTACTAATTTCAATAAGCAAGAAAACAACGTTGTTAATAAAATAACTTCTTTAATTGACGTTTCAGAGGAATTATTGGAAAATATCTCATACTTTATTGACTTGAGTAATTGACAAATACTAGTACTAGCATTAAGAAAATACCTGAAGGTGTTTTTTATGAATAAGAAATAATACATTTCCTTAGGGGTTAGGACCATTTTTATTAATTTATGTGTCTGGAAAGGTCAAACTTTAAAGAAAAGCTATTCTCTACTTTTAAAGTCTTTTTACTAGATTTTTAAGAAACTATGATGCAATACTTTTTTGATTTTTTTAAAGGACATTTTATGGAAAGTCTATACAGTTTCGGGTGACTGGGATGACTGCTATCATTTTGCTTTTTAAATTAATACATAAAAATAAAATGTCACTTAGCTTATTTAAGAGAAAACTAAAAAAAAAAAATGTTCCTGAAAATGTGTCTCTCTAATTGTCTCCTCGTATCTTGCGGGAAATCACTTCCAAGCGTTCGTGAAAGTTTTACATCTCCCAACAAATTTCAAATGCAGCGAAAAATAGGAAACAATATTGCCAAAACCAAAACATTTCTTTAATAACTCATTCAAAGGGTATTTTTAGTAATATTTTCAAAAGTGTTTCACATTCTTAGTCCTTTGATTCGATTCCGTTATTAAAACAAACAAAAATATGACGTCCTGGCTTACTTTTCTAAATATATCAGTTAAATTTCGCATGTTTGAGGGGGGAAAAGAAATATAAAAGAAAGTCGAAAGATACCAATGGGACATTCAAACTCATAAGCCGAAAATAAACTGACAACGCCATGACTAAAAAAGAAAAAGACAAACAGACAAACAACAGTACACAAAACACAACATAGAAAACTGAAGACTAAACCGGGACAGTGGCGCAAAAGCACAACACACGAACAAACTGTAAAAATCAGTTGCAATTAGATTAACTCAAAAGATCGGTACGAGACACTAATAAAAAACAACTAACATTTAGACAATAGACACAAAGCACCGAAATAAGAGTATTTGCAGTTACTGAAAGTTTGTTCAAAGCTGATTACACTAAGACTGAAATAAATCTTGTTCTCTCGGACTCAATTATCAATCAGTACAAAACCAACAGATTTAGTTATAAACTGTTTGAGAAACGCCATGACCTTGTAGACTATATATACAAGCACCTACAATTCTATTTGACGCTTTTTATGTTTCTATTTTTTATTCCCAGACGTTGTCTTTAACTTTATAGAAATCGACATCCAAAAAATAGACTGCTGCGTAACAGTTATTTTCACACGACCGTTCGCTCAACACAGAAGCGGGATAGCAGTATACTTTATTTGTACAAGTACATATAAAGCAAACAGATATTTGTTTACCTTGTTATTAGTTGGTTGATTGCAGATTAAAGATTAAAAACGAAAGATTTTTTCCTTGTTTTCTTCAATGATTGATTGCTGGTTGCTTAACGTCCAGTGGCAATTATTTCATGCATATTTGGGACAAGAAGTTTACTTACTAAAAATTTATATCCTTTTTAAATATAAAAAAAAGTATGGGTCACGGAGCCTTTTTCAAAACTGTGGATTGTGCAAAATTGTTAATGTTATTTTTTGCGGTTTTATTTTTAAAACATAACAATTAAGGTATTATATTTCTGTTAATTATCCCGTCAGTCCAAACTAGATATGGTGTGTGGTCGTCATATGGTGAAAATAAGGAAATAAAATATATGGTAATTCTCTTGGTTAGAGGAATGAAATGATTTAGTCTGGTCATTTGAGTTGCTAAATGCCATTTGGGATGTTACTGCAACGTTAAAAATATTGACATATTTGACACAAAATTTTACACTTCGGTTTTGGTTAAATTAAATGTTAGCAACATCATTACCACATAAAAGATATTTTAATCACATCAAAATTCCTTGTATAAGACATCATGTAGCAACATATCTTTTTACGTAAATAAGTTGCTCATATTCAAATATCAATTACAAGGTCTCAATTTTTTATTGTTCGATGGATAAGTATACTTTTCGATTTCGAATTGAAAGGGCCCCAAAATGTACCCTTATCTTGTGTACCTCACACTTATTTTCTATTTTAAGTAAAGACAATAATGCTGCTTCTTTCAAATATTAGCTATTCTTAAGATGAGTGTGGTCAAGAGGTTTCAGAGGAAAATACATTTGATTAAAGTAGAACGCCAATACGACTGTGGATCAAGTCCTGCAAGATCTATAGACATCAGTGGTTTTATTTTTTTCTGGTGCTAGTTTATATTGTGAAAAAAGCTAGTACCTAGTCACAAGAGAGAGAAAAAAAAACCAATCTAAACAATACACAGTAGATTTCTACAATGATGACGTTAATATATTAAATTCTAATTTCCATCGATTACTAATTTCAATAAGCAAGAAAACAACGTTGTTAATAAAATAACTTCTTTAATTGACGTTTCAGAGGAATTATTGGAAAATATCTCATACTTTATTGACTTAAGTAATTGACAAATACTAGTACTAGCATTAAGAAAATACCTGAAGGTGTTTTTTATGAATAAGAAATAATACATTTCCATAGGGGTTAGGACCATTTTTATTAATTTATGTGTCTGGAAAGGTCAAACTTTAAAGAAAAGCTATTCTCTACTTTTAAAGTCTTTTTACTAGATTTTTAAGAAACTATGATGCAATACTTTTTTGATTTTTTTAAAGGACATTTTATGGAAAGTCTATACAGTTTCGGGTGACTGGGATGACTGCTATCATTTTGCTTTTTAAATTAATACATAAAAATAAAATGTCACTTAGCTTATTTAAGAGAAAACTAAAAAAAAAAATGTTCCTGAAAATGTGTCTCTCTAATTGTCTCCTCGTATCTTGCGGGAAATCACTTCCAAGCGTTCGTGAAAGTTTTACATCTCCCAACAAATTTCAAATGCAGCGAAAAATAGGAAACAATATTGCCAAAACCAAAACATTTCTTTAATAACTCATTCAAAGGGTATTTTTAGTAATATTTTCAAAAGTGTTTCACATTCTTAGTCCTTTGATTCGATTCCGTTATTAAAACAAACAAAAATATGACGTCCTGGCTTACTTTTCTAAATATATCAGTTAAATTTCGCATGTTTGAGGGGGGAAAAGAAATATAAAAGAAAGTCGAAAGATACCAATGGGACATTCAAACTCATAAGCCGAAAATAAACTGACAACGCCATGACTAAAAAAGAAAAAGACAAACAGACAAACAACAGTACACAAAACACAACATAGAAAACTGAAGACTAAACCGGGACAGTGGCGCAAAAGCACAACACACGAACAAACTGTAAAAATCAGTTGCAATTAGATTAACTCAAAAGATCGGTACGAGACACTAATAAAAAACAACTAACATTTAGACAATAGACACAAAGCACCGAAATAAGAGTATTTGCAGTTACTGAAAGTTTGTTCAAAGCTGATTACACTAAGACTGAAATAAATCTTGTTCTCTCGGACTCAATTATCAATCAGTACAAAACCAACAGATTTAGTTATAAACTGTTTGAGAAACGCCATGACCTTGTAGACTTTATATACAAGCACCTACAATTCTATTTGACGCTTTTTATGTTTCTATTTTTTATTCCCAGACGTTGTCTTTAACTTTATAGAAATCGACATCCAAAAAATAGACTGCTGCGTAACAGTTATTTTCACACGACCGTTCGCTCAACACAGAAGCGGGATAGCAGTATACTTTATTTGTACAAGTACATATAAAGCAAACATATATTAGTTTACCTTGTTATTAGTTGGTTGATTGCAGATTAAAGATTAAAAACGAAAGAATTTTTCCTTGTTTTCTTCAATGATTGATTGCTGGTTGCTTAACGTCCAGTGGCAATTATTTCATGCATATTTGGGACAAGAAGTTTACTTACTAAAAATTTATATCCTTTTTAAATATAAAAAAAAGTATGGGTCACGGAGCCATTTTTCAAAACTGTGGATTGTGCAAAATTGTCAATGTTATTTTTTGCGGTTTTATTTTTAAAACATAACAATTAAGGTATTATATTTCTGTTAATTATCCCGTCAGTCCAAACTAGATATGGTGTGTGGTCATATGGTGAAAATAAGGAAATAAAATATATGGTAATTCTCTTGGTTAGAGGAATGAAATGATTTAGTCTGGTCATTTGAGTTGCTAAATGCCATTTGGGATGTTACTGCAACATTCAAAATATTGACACATTTGACACAAAATTTTACACTTCGGTTTTGGTTAAATTAAATGTTAGCAACATCCTTACCACATAAAAGATATTTTATTCACATCAAAATTCCTTGTATAAGACATCATGTAGCAACATATCTTTTTACGTAAATGAGTTGCTCATATTCAAATATCAATTACAAGGTCTCAATTTTTTATTGTTGTTCGATAGTATAATTTTCGATTTCGAATTGAAAGGGCCCTAAAATGTACCCTTATCTTGTGTACCTCACACTTATTTTCTATTTTAAGTAAAGACAATAATGCTGCTTCTTTCAAATGTTAGCTATTCTTAGGATGAGTGTGGTCAAGAGGTTTCAGAGGAAAATACATTTGATTAAGGTAGAACGCCAATATGACTGTGGATCAAGTCCTGTAAGAAGTTTGCACATAACTCTATAGACATCAGTGGTTTTATTTTTTTCTGGTGCTTGATTATATTGTGAAAAAAAACCCAATGAAAACTAGTACCTAGTCACAAGAGAGAAAAAAAACCCAATCTAAACAATACACAGTAGATTTCTACAATGATGACGTTAATATATTAAATTTTAATTTCCATCGATTACTAATTTCAATAAGCAAGAAAACAACGTTGTTAATAAAATAACTTCTTTAATTGACGTTTCAGGGGAATTATTGGAAAATATCTCATACTTTATTGACTTAAGTAATTGAAAAATACTAGCATTAAGAAAATACATGAAGGTGTGTTTTTTATGAATAAGAAATAATACATTTCCTTAGGGGTTAGGACCATTTTTACTAATTTATGTGTCTGGAAAGGTCAAACTTTAAAGAAAAGCTATTCTCTACTTTTAAAGTCTTTTTACTAGATTTTTAAGAAACTATGATGCAATACTTTTTTGATTTTTTTTTATGGAAAGTCTATACAGTTTCGGGTGACTGGGAGAACTGCTATCAATTTGCTTTTTAAATTAATACATAAAAAATAAAATTTCACTTAGCTTATTTAAGAGAAAACAATAAAAAAAAAATGTTCCTGAAAATGTGCCTCTCTACTTGTCTCCTCGTATCTTGCGGGAAATCACTTCTAAGCGTTCGTGAAAGTTTTACATCTCCCGACAAATTTCCAATGCAGCGAAAAATAGGAAACAATATTGCCAAAACCAAAACATTTCTTTAATAACTCATTCAAAGGGTATTTTTACGTAATATTTTCAAGTGTTTCACATTATTAGTCCTTTGATTCGATTCCGCTATTAAAACAAACAAAAACATGACGCCCTGGCTTACTTTTCTAGATATTTCAGTTTAATTTCGCATGTTTGAGGGAAAAAAAAGAAATCTAAAAGAAAGTCGAAAGATACCAAAGGGACATTCAAACTCAAAAGCCGAATAAAATAAAAAGAAAATAAACTGACAACGCCATGGCTAAAAAAGAAAAAGACCAACAGACAAACAACAGTACACAAAACACAACATAGAAAACTGAAGACTGAGCAACACAAACCCCACCAAAATCTGGGGGTGATCTCAGGTGCTCCGGAAGGGTAGGCAGATCGTGCTGCACAGGTGGCATCAGTCGTGTCAACACTTTTCGAAAAAATACACCGGATTCCATTTTTTTTAAAGTAGAAATCAATTAGTCTTAAATGCAGCGTGAAAAACGGGCAAAATCGTTTTTAATTTTTATTTTTCATACATCAATCACTTAAGACGGAAATATGTATAGCAATAATATATATATTTTTTTAACAGAATTCTGTGTAAGTATTTTCGAGAGATCGCAATTTAAAATGAAAAATGCATATTTTTTTATCACTTTTTCACATACATTCTATACATTTATAGACCTAGACTCGATTTTTTAATAGATTGTATACCTCTATTATATCCAGTTGAAATTGAAGAAAAGGAATGGAGCGCATTATTAGAGAAGATAAAAATTGTCAAGTTGGTATATTTGAATCGATTATTTCTTTTTCTATAGGCTTTAAAGGGTTAATGTAGGTGCACAATTACATTTTTTTTTCTTATATATGTGTTTATACTTAAATTATAGTATAGAGTTTATACTTAAATTATAGTATAGCGAAAATGCGCCGATCACGAAGAACAAAAATAACCCATCAGGCCCCTCATTAATACCGAGCTTAGAATGAATGATCCTTAGGATATCTGGTAAACAGAAAAAACAGTATTTGTTTCCGTTTTCAATAACAAACAACAAACAATTTCGTTTCAAGTACTGTTTCATTCAAAACTGTAGTTTGCAGTCACAGAAATAATTATATTAAAAGTACGTCTGAACCAGTGACAACTCTACGACAGATTTTATCCATCGGGTCACCAGTGATGGTGACACAAGGCTGAAAACACATTCTGTATACATAATTCGTCTAAATAACAGCCCAACAATGTTAGATCTGTAAATTTGCGGAAGTTTTTTGTTCTTCCCTGGCCGGGATTCGAACTCATGCTACTGAGATATTGTTGCACCAAATCGCCTTGCACTATGCCCGAAGCGCTAGACCACTCGACCACCTAGGCTCGACATAAATCAAGCTTTCGGTGGCCGAGTTTTATCTTTCCTCGTCAGTTTTTATCTAGCGTCGTAACACAGTACATGATATATAAGGCATGAAGATGGAATATTACAGATCAGCTGAATTATCTATCACAGATATATATATATATATATATGTGATAGTAAATATATATATATATATGTGATAGTAAATATATATATATATCTGTGATAGTAAATAATTAAATCATTGTATGTATAAACATTGCCGACTTTGTATAATTAGTCATTGCATAATTGACTGAAAGTGAGAAATATGATATTGATAACCTGAAATTTGAATTTGACGTTTTATTCAGATTTTCAAATGGCTTTCGATTTTTCTTACCATATTAAAAGTCAGGTGACGAGGCATTAAAACGCCTCGACGAAAATGGCTGACAGCAGAGAAATTAATTCGTACAACTTAACCATACATATTTCATAAACTTGAGTTACAGGATGATCAGAACAGTTTGATTATGAGATGTACTTCACACATTTTAAAATCCTGAAATTACTTACCTTCTATATCCTATAAGTCTTAGTTTACTACATACTTTGTATTCTCTTGATTAGCCGTGAGATTTCTGTGACAGAATATACGGGTACTGAAACTAGATGACAAAATCAATAGCTACTGAACCAACAAGTCTATGGTGCTATTGACAGTGGGCACCCGATGGGATTGTATTGAATAACATGTAGTATAAGAATTGTTAACATTTATAGAAACTAAACGTCTTAATACCACTAATATTTTGTCAACCGATGCTGTGGCATAGACTTGTTATGTTTGTACTGTGGACATCCTTAGTGTTATAAACTTAATATCCAAGCTTTGTCTTCAATTAAGACATCGACATATTTTCTTAGTCATTTTGCGTATGAATAAAACTTCTTCCATAATTTATATTTTATCTACAAGCTGCTTTGAAGTTAACTATAGAAACAACTACTAAGATGTTTAGATTCATTTTCCTTTCAAGCACTCACCGGGAATCGATTTAGAGGATAAAGACATGAACCACCCGAAAGAAAAGAAATCTTCGTGTATTTAAAAGCATGAAACAAATGGCTAAGGGTTATAATTAGGGTCTACGCCACCCTGTCAGAATCTGGAACTAGTCAGTCTCTGAATTGATACAGATACGAAGAAGCTAAGGGGAGGGCAAGGGTGGTGATAAGTCGAAGGAAGACAGAAAACGCAATGGTCAAAAGAGACAAAAAAGGCACTAATGAAGAAAAAAAATCACTATCGACTAAGAGTTAGCAGTTCCTGCTCCTGCAGTGACACTCGTCACGTTACCCATGTTACAATCCGCAGCTACATGGTTTAAGTCAGAGATAAGGTTATATACTAAAGCAGTGAAAGTATGCTTTGCATTATCGATAAACACAATTTTTGATACTTCATTTACTTAATTTTGTTCGGATTATTTGACCTTTTTGTAGTGCCTATGTCGAACCTCTTTGAATTTTTTCTCCTTTCAAAATTTCAAAACAGGTAAAAATCAATTCTGTCATAGATACATAAAATACGTTCTCTTGATTAGCAATCGATTGGCAAACATTACAACTAATGTCATTTACATTTAAAAGTAGATTCTAAAAACACCAAACAGACAATGATTCAGCTTCGATTTTACGACAACTTTTATAGAACAGTAGATATGGATTGTTTTAATCAATTTCCGTCTTTTTATTAAGATTAATAGTTCATAGCTCAATCATCTAGATAAGCTGGAATGGTATTGTTGTTGACTCTAGTAGTGGAACTATATCATAATGTACATGTTTATGTTAGTCAAATTTCCGTTCCATGCTTTCGAAATATTTGAAACTGACATCAAAGTTAAATAATAGAAGTAACACATGGTATTGCGTCATAATATGAACTGATGCGCTACTTGTGTAAGACATCTTAAGATTGAAAAATCATCTACTAGTGAATATATTTGAATTCGCTTCTGTTGAATATTGTCCCAATTCAAAAGGGAAAATATGAAGACAGACTTGTGCATATCATAACGTCAACGACAAAGTATCCATACGTCACAGCAAAACCAAAGCACATATCTATAGGTCATCATATTGTCTTCAACAAGGAATATCTGCCTATACACAGTAGGTCAAACTCGGAATTGTCTGAAAATGTGTGAATAAAATTGAGAGAGACTATCAAAGATCCATAAAAAAATAAAGAATTACTATAAGATATAACAAAAGACTGACGCATAGTTCCTGACTTAGGACAGTCATATGAACATGGGGCGATGTTTAACTAGTTTCTCGAGATCTCAACCCTCCTGTTGTTATCTCGATTAGTGGCATTAGTAGGTTTCCGATTACAAATCCAAACTTTTATTCTACTGAGCTGCCTCAGTGACTGACTTCATTTCTTAACAAATGGTACATTAAACAATAAACAATAAAAATCCGTCCAAGAAAAACCCTTAATTATTTGATAACGGTATGATAGATTATAATAAAAATAAAAACTTCAAGCAAAACAATTATAAACATTACTGTATCAAAGAATCCTCGCAGTAACTGTAAGAAATCTAAAAGTACTTAACTTTGTTACCTGAAATCCTTCTGCACTACACTCTAATATCACTTAACCTGGTTACCTGAAATCCTTCTGTACTACACTCTTATATCACTTAACCTGGTTACCTAAAGTCCTTCTGTACTACACCTTAATATCACTTAACCTGGTTACCTGAAATCCTTCTGTACTACACTCTAATATCACTTAACCTGGTTACCTGAAATCCTTCTGTACTACACTCTTATATCACTTAACCTGGTTACCTGAAGTCCTTCTGTACTACACCTTAATATCACTTAACCTGGTTACCTGAAATCCTTCTGTACTACACTCTAATATCACTTAACCTGGTTACCTGAAATCCCTCTGTGCTACACTCTAATATCACGTAACCTGGTTACCTGAAATCCTTCTGTACTACACTCTGATATCACTTAAGTTGGTTACCTGAAATCCTTCTGTACTACACTATAATATCGGTGGCTGAACTTCAATGTTAATTTTAATAAGAGTACAAGAAGACATGATCTTATAAAATGCCCAGAACACAGTCATTATGATATAAAGAATTCTTGCTTCAAACTATAATTTAGGCAATTAATGTTCATAAAAGCAAAAAAAATGTAAAGTAAAAAATGATGACATTTATATCCATGCTAGCTTATTTTATTTGCAATAAAAAGATTGCATTCTGAGACATCTCCCCGAACCCTTGAATACTGAACCAACTGATTATAAATGTAAACTTCATTCGAAGAAGCCAACGGACTATATTCATTAAAGTAAAAATACTAAAGGAAAAGAAAGAAAAGTTTTCCTTTTTTTCAATTTTGATGTGAAAATTATCTTAAGAAATTCTAACATCTAGTTCTAAACAGGACAATAATCAATGGCCCCTCTTAACGTTGGAATTAGTCAAGTAACTAGAACTGATATACATTATAATTTATAATATACATATGTATTCAGAAAAAGAATGCGCATGCTGAAATATCTCGCCTGTTTATTTTAGTAACTGATCATGATTGAATTTTATGTTGAAAGTCTTTAAGATCAAAATTTTACTACAGTTATAACATACACTTTGCATTATCAACAATCCATAAACTTGAGGTCAAGGTCAAATGAACCCTGCCAGACAGACATGTACAATTATTTCATACATAAAAATCGCACTTTTTCATGATTGAATAAACTGAAATTTCCGTTTTATTATAGGATTTAAGACTTTTATTTCTTTTGTGAGTTAATCGGTCCAGTTTACACATTAAAAATAAATGTATTTCATCCTTAAAGTAAATGAAAAACCAAAATGCAATAGTAGATAATACTTAAACTTATATTAATCCAAACATTCTCAACCCAAACATTTGTGAATTTTACCTAGTAAACGCTTGAATCTGTTCGTCATTCCGTGGACGTAAGACCTTGGGTAGAAAACTTTCGTCAAAAATTTCTTGGCTTCTATGAAAGGGAATGAGTTTTATATTTGGTTTTCAGTTTTTTCATATTGTGTTGTTGAGTTTTAGCAATTGTTAGATCTGCCGTGCTTTGTTTGCCGATAGTTTGAAATTTTACAACACTAATTGTACACGGAAAATTCTCGTCTAACTTTTTTCGGATACTGTGGAATTGAATGATATTAGTATTTTTGTCTGGAACTTGATGATGATAAGTTGGTAACGTTTTGACATCTGCCGTGCAGCCACTTCCTTTTTGCCGATAGTTTGAAATGTTACAACACTCATTGTACAAGGAAATTTTCGTAATAAAATCATCTTCAACAGGTTTTGTACCATGAAATGCTCAGCTTTCGGGGCCTTTGCGGCTCCTACAACCCCGCCTAAATAACGGATGCATCCATAACTGTAAGAAAAAAAAGACCAATACCAGGTCCATATTTCATAGTACAAAATCCTTGATTTTGATAAAAAGACCCCAAGATTTATTTTTCGACTCAACTGATGGGAGATTCAGGAAAGGATGAATTCAAAAAATAATATTTTAGATTTTTTGTTCATCCTTTCCTGAATCTCCCATTAGTTGAGATCACTTGTTTGATAGTCAAAAGCAAGAGCGGTGCTGAGGTGCTCAAATGTGTCCCGTCATTTCAGCACTGAAATAGTGACCTATGCTTAAAGGTTATCAATTTCACACGTTATTAGGGAGCTATCATTTGATTTTTATGGGGGGGGGGGGGGGGGGGGGGGGGGGGGGCTAGGATGAAATTTGAAAAAATAGGCAGGACAGGAGTTTTGAGTAAAAAAAAAAGGCAGGATGAGCAACTTGGTAAAAAAAAAAAAAGGCAGGATGACAATTTGTGTAAAAAAATTCAGGATATACTAGCAAAAAAAAGGCAGGACCGAATAGAGTAAAAAATAAAAAGGCAGGACAGAGATTACAACTAAAAAAAAAGCAGGACAAAATTTTTCATCCTAGCCCCCCCCATAAAAATCAAATGGTAGCTCCCTTAAGATATTGAAAATCTTCTTTATCGGTTAACATTGATTTTGTTTTTAATAAATTTAAACATAACTAAATAATATATTTTATTTTTTAAACTTTGGGTGATACATTTTTATGTAAAGTAGTGATTTGGTTAAGTTAAAAAAGGTCAAAATTTAATATGTCTGAAGCTGTCATACTAAATTATAGACCCCCTTAACATAGAATTGTCCATAGTTTGAGATAGACTTTTCTAAAACTTTGATATATTTTCCCCAAAAGAAGTACACTACACTAACAAATCTTTTTGAGATAGAGCAGGAGCGATTTTTTTTTATTTGAATTTATTGTCTAAAGGAAATGCAGAACAAAATAATTGTGTTCTCGGGCCAGTTAACTACAGTGTTTATTAGAATTTTTCGACTGCACTACCTATTGTCTACTCATTACGTAAATATTATCCCAATTAAAAGCTTTGACTTTCGGCCTCTTTTACTTATCTATCTTTATACCAAAAATTATAATGATAGGTTTCCGATTACAAATCCAAACTTTTATTCTACTGAGCTGCCTCAGTAACTGACTTCATTTCTTAACAAATGGTACATTAAAATTA